GCGCTCGCCCTCCGCTCCCCCCCCACCCCCACCCCGGAGGCGCCGGGCCCCTTGGATGCCGCCGAGATGGGCAAGGTGCTGTCCAAGATCTTCGGCAACAAGGAGATGCGGATCCTGATGCTGGGTCTGGACGCGGCTGGTAAAACCACCATCCTGTACAAACTGAAGCTGGGCCAGTCCGTCACCACCATCCCCACCGTGGGCTTCAACGTCGAGACGGTTACTTACAAAAACGTCAAGTTCAACGTGTGGGATGTCGGGGGCCAGGACAAGATCCGTCCCCTCTGGAGGCACTACTACACGGGCACGCAAGGGTTGATCTTTGTGGTGGACTGCGCCGATCGCGACCGCATCGACGAGGCCCGCCAGGAGCTCCACCGCATTATCAACGACAGGGAGATGCGGGACGCCATCATCCTCATCTTCGCCAACAAGCAGGACCTGCCTGATGCCATGAAACCCCATGAAATCCAGGAGAAACTGGGCCTGACCCGAATCAGGGATAGGAATTGGTACGTGCAGCCCTCCTGTGCTACCACAGGGGATGGACTCTACGAAGGGCTGACATGGTTAACATCCAATTATAAATCCTAATGAGAGAATAACTATTTAGTCTACAAAGAATTAAAGAGGAAAAAAAAAAATAACCCACCTGGCTTTCCGGAAGAATGATTCTCTACTGAAAAGTGAAACAAAAGCATCCTTAGGATTATGATCACCTTTCTCCAGTTACCACCCTCTCCTTCTGCACACTTGACTGGATTCCTGTTTTAACTCTTCTTGCTTGGCGTTAGGATGCTCTAATCTCCGAATGTGACACGAACACAGGCACTAGATGCTATGGCAGACTTCCAGCAAACAGGGGAAAGACTCATTGTAGACTTGCTAAGTAACTTTTTTTTTTTTTTGGTTTCCTCTTGATAGCCCTTAAGATGGTTTGATTATTTTGGGGGATGGTTGGGGGAGGGGTACCGTTTCCAGTGTATGCTTTCTGGTTCTACTTTTTTGGTTATATGTTGGGTTTTTTTTGTTCTGTTTTCTTCTTATCACTTGCTGTAGATTGCTACTTTTTTGCATTCACGCAGAATATGTTGATAGGTCTACTTCATCTAGTAAACTGAAAATTATTGCTTAAAAATCAAACTGCAGTCTGTCTTTTTATATTAAGGACTTTTTCTAAAGTTCTGTTAATCTGTAACTGAATAGTGGCTCTCAGTCTGTCCTCGTATCTCAGACTAATGAACCGAATTCTTGCCTACAGTGGCGGATAGCGAGAATACCATTGTAACATGTTCAAAGTGCATATCAGGCGTAACGTTAACTAGGTAACGCAAGAGCCGCTTTGAAATGTCAGCTGTGAAGTTCTGAACCATACATCATGCATGAGGAGGGATGCAAATGAGTTCCCCGTACCACATAGCAACCATATAGCAAATAAGACATGAATGATGTAATAGTTCCAGGGTAGATACTGTTCAGTTTTCGTCTTGCATTGCAAACTTAAAATGATGTTTAGCTGCAGTTTTTCCTGCTTGTGTCAGTCTCGGACTCAATGCAAGATAGGTTCCTTCCAGCAAACGCAGCAATAACGTGTAAAGCAACAAGTTTTACCGTAAATCACAGATGGTTAGGCAAAAATCTAGCACCGACTTGCCTGTCTTGCTAGCGAGACAAATCACTTTCGTCTCGAGGCAGTTGAAGACAGCTAAATCTTAAAAGGATTTCTGAGTCTTTATGTAGTGGAAAAAGAAATTTGAATTTTTCCCCCCCGTTTTTGTAGATTTCCCAAGGGGCCAGTTCCGTGCTAAGCTTTAACCGAGCTGGGTGATTCTGAGATCTGGCTGTTCCAAGGAGATTGCTTCCCGGTTTTTTCCAAGACCCGACTGAACTCCTGCGAGGAGTCGCAGTCTTCGCCATCTGCCTCCGTAGCCGGTTGTTGCTGTCGTCCTGTAGGAAGGGAACTGTGTGGGATGCCTGAAGCCCATTGAGTAACTACTAATGAGAGCGGGGAGGAGAGAGAGAGTATACGACAATGAATGTAAACTTCCATAATTAGTTCTTAAAGGGCAAGCAGCTCATTTGCCGTATCACAGTTTGCAGATGTGACTGGCAAAAAAACCCCACCCCACCCAGAAGGAGTATTAGTATAAAAACTCAATCAAGTATTAACGCTGGGTGCAAAAAAACATTAAAGCAGCTGGTTCTTATTCAGCCTTAAGGGTTAACTTCAGATTTCCTCAAGGAGTTAAACCCGATTGGGGAATTCTAGGAATGTATGCTACAAAACCAGAAGAAAATGGCTTTTTTTTTTTTTTTTTCCAAGGCTATGAGTTTTACATGGAATTGGGGGCATTACACTACATTTCTGCAGCGTTGACTCTGCGTGCTAAGTACATTGTGCACGGAGCTCTTACCAAAGATGTATGGGAAGGTTAAAAATACTGGATTCACCTCTGAAATGGAATGCTTTGGACCACTTAGAAGTTCCTTTTAGAACATGGTTCCAAAAGGCTTATCTTGCTGCGGGTTGAAACGGGACCGAATGGGTTCTTGAGGCTAGAAGATAGAGCACTGATTGACTGGCAGCCTTCCTGAGCTGCAGTCTGCACAAGCTCAGTGTGGCACAGCTCTCCAATCTCGGCTCTGAAGAGGAGGAGGTGAGATTTATCCCCCCCGCTCCCAAGGCTTTTTGCCATTGGAATATCACTGCTCTATTTTCTAGCTGGCTCTTCTTTTTTTTTTTTTTTTTCCTGTTGATGTAACATAACCAATAGCGTGGTGGTATAGAGACTTAAAGATACAAGATTCTGGTTACTGTTTTCTTCTGGAGCATAAATAAAATAGCCAAGCACAAAGTAAATGCCTAAACTGGAAAACTTGAAGCTCTCTTAATGGTTCTTGAACTTTCTTAAATCTCAGTCAACATGAAAACTTCAATAACTCCATTTTTTCTTTTTTTTGGTCTAAGTTGATTTACTGTGTTTTCAAGTGCTGGGGCAGACTTTGCTAGACTTTGCGTTAAGTTGAATTCACAATTTTGTATTTCCTTAGTAACTTTGTTATTCTGTTTTTGTAGGTGAAAGGAAACTGATTATGCTTCTGGATTTTTTTTTTTAATGTCTTTTTTTGGGAGGGGAGGGGGGGAGGGGGAGAAAAAGTTACTGAAAGATGTGGCAGAGACGTCGGAAATAAATGGCCGTTGCTGCTGAACAAGGCAAAGGTTTCGCTTTCAACCTGTCCCTTACAGGTCGTAGCTGTCCCTCGCCACGAGCGGGTGGCTGCGGGCGGTCCGCGCGGCCTGTAGGCTGAAGCGGCAAGCTGTACGAAACCCCGGGGTTTCAGAGCTGATCTGGAGCTTCTGAGTGCATCGATTTGTGTTCATGTGAATTTATGGAGTAAGTTCTGAATGGCGTTAATCGTGTCCGATACGTGAATGAGTTTGTAGACTGTGATCTCCCTGACTAAAGTCAACAGGAATTTTGTGTTCTCAATATGGCTGTAGTGTTGGTAAAGAACTAATAAGCAGAAAATAAAGCAATTATACAGCGGAGCTCTCCTGGTATGTTACTTCCATTCGATGATGAGAGGAACAGAAAGGGGCAATGCGGTGCCCGCAGAGAGAGGGCTCTGTTCTGTGTCTCACGGTTCTGAAAGCCTGTCTGCCATTCCTCTGGGACTCAGATTAGCGACTCCTTTTATAAGTGGAAAGGATGATGCTTCTTTCACCCTCCCACTTGCCGTTAGCCACCTTTGAGCAAACTTCAGAGGCGGCTTTACACTGCCTGCGTGTCGGCCCCAGGGACGGTGCCCAGCTCCGTGAGGGTACGGAGGGGCTGTTGCTGAGCAGGACGGTGCCGTGTGTCGCGGAGGTCGGAGAGGGACGATGCGAGGCCAGCGTGGAGCACGCAGCGACGGCCAAAAGGGTCCGTGAGCGAATAGGGGCGCTGGCGGAGCGACAAGACGCGGAGTCGGGATGTCTTTGGTGCCGGGGTAGGGCAGGAGCCGACAAAAGGACTTGGGCAGGTGGAGCGGGGCGAGCGTGGGGGGCCGGGACGCGAGCGGCAGGC